AGGCCTTGCTCAGGTTGTTTACAAGTCCCACGTGGTGAGGAACGAGGGCCAAGATAGCGAGCATCTCGTTGGTTCCTAAACACTTCAAGCCTGTACCAGGTTTTAATGTCTATGTGATATTTAAACAGAATTTTTGTTATAATAACTACATGATTTTTCTAATGGATACTTTCATAATTCGTTGAATATTATCATGTTATACCAGCTCTCAGTCTACTATTTCATTTGATGAGACGAATGTGTTTGAATATTTTTCGTGAACTGTTATAGAGATCCAAATGCATTATGCATTTTTCAGCATAATTTTTTCTTTTCAAAGGTTATTATATTTCTAGGTAAAATATAATTATCTTTATCAGAGCTGCCATGACGATCGATATAACTTTACTTTTAGGAGCAGGGTTTTCGCACACGCAGTTCCGGCTCATATTACTGAAGGATATATACACATTTGTGGACGGTTTCATCCTCGTAGAAAAGGTATGCTTAAGGTATTAAGACCAATATCAAGGACAGATGTTGGAGTATCTCAAGATCTCTCTCTTATAGTTTTGGTTATAGGTGGTAATTTCCCTAAAGATAAAGCATAAACTCGTCAAATGAGAGCCCCTTAGCATTAGTACTGCGAAAAATAAATATTAATTCAATAAAATTAATAAAATAAATAAAAATGCTTACTTCATGAACATGAAAAACATTAAACTTTTAATCCGCATTAGAGGTGATCCATAATATCATTGTATTATTTTTCTGTTAACTAATGTACACAGATACATGGTACTGTGGCTGTGTGACAGTGTCCCAAAAGCAAGTATGGATGCCAGTATGGTTATTGACATCCTTATGAAGCAGGGGTCGGGAATTTTCTTGTGTATTATACAAAACAAATTTGTGTTAAATGATATTACCACCAGAATTCGCAGTAAACAAAAGCAAAAACAAGCTAATGCTAATTGCTCTTAAATGAAGAATAAACTCTCAAGATGAAGAATTAGCGAAAGACTTTAAAAACCACAAATGGTGTTACAAGATAGATGTGAAAACCAAGTGGAGGTTCTCATCTTGTCTGCAAGGGTATGTTTTCTGCAAGGGTATGTTTTCTGTAAGGGTATGTTTTCTGCAAGGGTATGTTTTCTGCAAGGGTATGTTTTCTGCAAGGGTATGTTTTCTGCAAGGGTATGTTTTCTGCAAGGGTATGTTTTCTGCAAGGGTATGTTTTCTGCAAGGGTATGTTTTCTGCAAGGGTATGTTTTCTGCAAGAGTATGTTTTCTGCAAGGGTATGTTTTCTGCAAGGGTATGTTGTCTGCAAGGGTATGTTGTCTGCAAGGGTATGTTGTCTGCAAGGGTATGTTGTCTGCAAGGGTATGTTGTCTGCAAGGGTATGTTGTCTGCAAGGGTATGTTGTCCGTCGGTTTTCATTAGCGTATTCTTAGCTTAAAACTATGAATCTAATGATGGATATTTCAAATGGACTATGCAGGATACATTGATTCATTCGCTTGAGATCAACGCAGTCACCCGCTTCTACTTGTCCTGGGATTATATTTAATGATGATGCATTTTACCAACAGATTTTCAAAGCATTTTTTAACCGGACTTCCAACTTTGCTTCCCATATTCAAACAGATTTTTCATAGAGATCTATGACTCGGCGCAGGCTGAGGCTGAGGCTTTAATCCTGGGGAGTGTCTGTAGTTCAACCTTGGGGGGAGGGGGGGGGTACATCGATACAAACAGCGTGTATTTATACGTTGGCTGCCTCTCCTGCCAACACAGTGAATTAAATTATATTAATAACCCGGTATACCGATATGTGGCAAACTAAGGTCACAGGAGAGATTCTTTGAGTACTCTTTCAACGATTTCTCACCGACTTTGCTTCATTCATACTACTTTGATTCCTGTGATATAACCCAGCCCTTATCCAACTTTAGTTAGCACCATCAATTTCGCGAGCTTCTACCTATCTCGTCAGTCTCTTGCAACGCACAGCATCAAAGGCTTTGCTAAAGTTAAGGAACATAACGGTACAATCTTTTCCACAATCTGCCTCAAATAAACTGGAATAGAATGAAAGCAAATTTTGTTAATCGTGAAGGGCTCTTGCATTAATGAATGATTTACAACCACGTTTCTCCAAGATGTAAACGAATTGCATGCAAGCACTGATTCAAGCAATTTCTTCCCATCCTCACACAATAGACGTTAAGCTAGACCTTTAGTTCGACCACATTAGCAACTTTCCAAAAGTCCAGAAATCGGCTCTGCTAATAACTTTAAACAAACATTAAACAAACGACGAACTTAACTTTTAGACGAGAACCTGGGAAATGCTTTGACTGGCACTTAGAACCGTGTTTGCTTTAATTTACACATTTGTTTAATAACGTTCATCACTGGTGACCACTTAACCTAATCAACTTACCTACTTCACTACTTAAAAGATTTGTTCAGCTACAGGAAACTTAGGTATTTATTAAACTCAACAATTATTTTACGAGCACGTGGCACGAGTTGGAGGTAGTTTACGAGAACAAATACGAACCCGACAGCCTTCCTTTGACATTTGCTCAAGGTTCATAGCCCTAATATACGGTTGTAAAAACGCGTGTGTGTCTTAGCCTCACATGTCTGGGGCCCACAGTTCGAGTCTCCTAGAGCCCGGAGAATGGAATACGGTTATAAAGTCGCATCACTTTTTAAAAGCTGGTAACTGTTATACGTCAAATCTCATTTCAGCAAGTAATTTATGAGACTAGTTAAGGTAATGAATAATTGGGGTGGGTGTTGCCTCGCTGAATTAACGCCCTTCCATAGAACCCAATAAATCTCTGTTGCAGACTAGCTACAAGGCATCTACTTACCTCTAATTATTTTGGGTAGCCCTGATGCCGTTGCTTCAACCCGTCCTCTACTCAAATCCATTCCATCCAGTGGTCGACCCCACAGACGCATTCACAAATTTGTACATGCTGTTCATTCAAAACTGGAATTTTCTCAAATATAAATTAATATTATAATATATTAGCACATTATGTATATATAGGTATAGGTTAGGTTTGGTGTTTAGGTTCTGTTGGCGATTATTTTTATTTGTAGAACGCGGGTGAAGCATTTATAACGTGGTGGTTCGAACAGAGAACGTGAGTGAAGCACTTGTTCCAGAAGTGTTCGAACGAAATCAATTGCGAGTCGTGTGTAAACCGTTTTTCATTCATAAACAGGAGGTTTGGCGGGTGCATGCAATCACTTTTGGATCTTTATATAGAGGACGGGCTGGCTTTTGCAGGATCGAGAATCCAACATATGGCCATGCATGTACTCTAGGTCATTGTTGAGACTCGTGGGTTCGAGCCCTCCTCTCAGTGTTCAGCCCGTAATCGCATACAAAGATCCAAGTTCGTTAATCCAGCCTCCAAACCCCCTGTTTATGAATGAAAAGCATGACTCACAACTGATGACATCCGAACCCTTCCAGAACAAGTGCTTCGATTCATGTTCTCTGTTCAAACCACAATTCTATAAATGCTTCACCCACGTTTTTCAAATACAAATACAAATTGATTTATGAGAACAAAGCATTTTTTAATACACAGTATGTTAAAAAATGATGAGTGCATCTGGGGAAGACGACCGCTGCTTTACCCAGCTTAGTGTGGGGACGGGTTGCAGTCTTGTGGTGGTCAGTCTGGCGACGGTCGTGTCTCATGTGGTCTCGTGGAACAGTTGCCAAGAAATATTCCCCCCTGGCTTAATATCTACAAAATATTTTCTTTAATTATACACAATAAATCTAATGCACAGAAGTCAATTTATTTTATTAGTTATGAAATTGTTATGCAAATTTTTGGTTAATCATGATTATTAATTAGATTCAAATATGCGTGTGTAAATGTTTCCGGCATGGTTCAACTATTTGTGGGATTAGTTCACATATTTGTATAAACTAATACTAATTTCTTTGCCATTATTAGGTATATGTCGTGTCTCAGTTTTTAATGGATCGGTCTTCTTCCCTAATCATTGTTCGATATATCTGAAAAACCCTTTAAGATTTGTTCTTACCTGCCCTGCTATACATAATTCAAGCGTATATTATTTTTTCCATTTCACCATTTCTAACTAGTTTGACAAATTGCCGTTCTAGACATGTTTCTCTCTTTTGTAATCTCTTCTACAAAAATTAATTTTATCAATAACGTTCTTCCGTCCTTTAGTTATCCACTTGGGGTCATTGCGGTTGAACCTAATCATTCTAGATAGCATACCACGTTTCTGGGCGTCACTAGGAGTATCTATCAAGGGAAAGCGCCAAGCCACCACGAATATATAACACTTGTTAGGGGTCAGGATAAGGATTTGGGATGGGCCCAACCACTTGCACGGTCAGGGATTGATCGCCAACCTGCATGAAGCAGTATTACAAAAATAAGAAAAAATATTTGAATCTTCAACGTAATCCTTGGTCACACCAACGGAGCCACACAAGGTAAATCTTCCTCCCGATAATGGTTTAGGCGGTCACGCCTCCACACAGCAAGCAGCCGCAAGATGTCCCTGGACACCACACTTGTAACAGGTCCGGGGCGACCCAGCATAAACAAAATGTAACGCACAGCCTAGAACCGAGACAGACGAGGCTATATTCAAGTTCTGAACCCCACCACTGTAGCAAAGTGCGCCGTGAAACGAGTAATCACCTCGTCTGCTATTTCGAACGGCTGGTCGCAGGCAGCCACCTATGTAAACAGCCTGTTGACATTTCTAACAATGACAACCGAGAATCGCTGCAAATACGCCGTCAGTCTTAAACTTCAACACCACTCAGCGATTCCGTAACATCAGGATATCAACAAGATCGTGCATTCATACATGCAGTAAGGTTAACAGTTGTAGTAACCACGAAAGCGTAGTCTGTCTACTATCAAAATTCCAAACTGGCTGAGTTAATTTTTTTCACAGTAGGAGGAAAAAACCCTCATAACTCCCTCCTCACCACCCGACACCAGCAGCGCACAAGCCGGTAGGTTACAGGAGCTAGGCAGCAGGCCGCTGGCCCATACAAGGCGGGTCCCGTTTAAATCTATTCTCTTCCTCACCGTTTCTGTTTTAGGGTGGGTGAGGGTGGGATGAGAACGCAATGTCTGTAGTGGTGGTGACTTAAGAAGTGGCTTACAGTCTGCGTGGTATGCCAAACCTCCGGGACCAGGCAAACCTATCCATGTCTTGTTATGGTCCGCACAAGCTACGGGCCTCCAAGGAAATGCATACATTTTTTTGTTTACTATTTTATAATACCAAAATTAATAAAAATAATATTTATTAAACTGTATAATTTAAAAGGTTTGATAACTGCTTGGGATTCGTTGGGAAATATTTGTTTGAAGAGCATACAGGTGGAGGATTAAGAGGTGTGAGTCGATCAAAGAAAATGATTGAAGGATTATATAAAAATTAGGTCAGACGGAGGCTACGTGTAAAAGTTTTTTGTTATTCGTTATCTAGAAGAATGTCATTTATATTAAAGATCTTAAACCAATGTTTTGAGAACTGGTTCTGTATGGGACGGGGGGATGGAATCGTCTTCTCATACTGATGCATTTACCATAATGATATCGAAGTTGAACGTTGTATTCCAATCTTGAACCCGACATTACAATCCAATGGCCGGACAGCAACATGGCGGGAGACTGGTCAACCAATGGAAACGCTTCCCGGGAAGTTACGAGTCTTGACTAGAGTTTCACGTCTATTGACACGACTCCACAAAGCAAGACAACTGCGGCAATGAGCAGTTTAACATCATTCGGATCAGCCAGCCTAGTTTGAGTTACATTTCTGGTTGCCCTCGCCACGGTCCTAATTTACGCCAAAAGAGTCTCATATGAATGGTAAATAGCTGAGCATCTTTTTTATGTCAAATTAGTTGAGGTTCTTGCTTGATAAAAACTTTCTTACCCAAAGTATATTAAAATAGTATGTAATATGTTCGAACACGGTCCATAAAAATGTGTAGTATTTGATTTAAAATGCTTTCGTGAGAGTATAAAGAAAACACCAATAACCAAAAAAATACAATGGAGTGTAAAGATTGACATCAGTAGAAAACATAGCAATTAGTATTGGCAAACATAGTTAAGAGACAAAACATTTCAACCGTAAGGTTATGTCCATACAAGGGAATGTTTGTCTGGTCTTGTCCGTCCTAGGCTGGCCGCCAGACGTCTAGGACTAGCCCTCGTTGAACTTGACGAGATGGCATATAGTGACATGAGAGGATCGTAGCTCAGACGAGGTCAGCCTCTGGCTCCACTTTCATGATATATCGGAATCTATTTTTTGTGAAGTCTGAAATCGTGGATTTGATTTCTGTAATGTTTTTTGCAGCTCTAATATTAAATTTTCTATGAGATGGATGGTGTGTGTAGGGAAGGAGAGGGGTGGGGGCGGTCCCCCACACTCCACGAGGAGTGGTATAGGAGCTGGAAGAGAACGAAGGATCATTGCTGGGAGTGGGACAGGGAGGAGTGGGAGGGTGGAGACGAGGGGGGGGGGATTGATAAAGAGTAGGGGTCAGAAGGGAGTTTGGGAGAGAGGAGAAAGTGGGGAAAACCGGAGGAGAGAGGGGAAATATGGAAGATAAGGGATGATGTTGGGAACCATTGGGAAAGAGAGCGTGAGAGAGATGAGGAATGGAGAGGGTGACAGAGAGATGAGGGACGGAGAGGGGAGATGATGGGTGAGAAATGGGAGTTGAGGGATAAGGGAAGAAAAGTGAGAGGGTTTAGTAAGATAAAGGGAAAATGAGAGGGGGGAAAAGAGACACAAATACAGTTGGTACCATATCAAGTAATTATGGTAGAATTCCTCTGCAAAAGAGAATTATGGCCAGACGCCTGGAGCTAGCCACACCCAACTATTCATGGTGACGCAGGAAAGGTGATAGGTTATGTGAGTGCCATAGGTCAGTGTCGGCCCAATTACACTCTTTAGGGAAATTGGTATTTATAGCGACCCCGTACGATTTTCACGAAGGCTTAAATTTGGGATGTATTTCCAAAAGTTTTTCTACCTCCAAAAACTGAAAAAAAGTTGGAGGAAGTGGGGGCAGAAACTAAGAAAATAGGTTAGGTTTGATAAATCTTTCTAGAAACAAAAACTAACTTATCCTATCCGAACCTAATCTAACATAACTAAAACAAAGTCAGTAATTCATGACCATAATATAATATGAAAATATTAATTCCAATAAACATATTTGAAAATAAATATTTTAAAATAACGGAAATCACTCTGTTACGCAAATCGGGCCTAGCATGCTATGTCAAGTAGTGCGTTCCGGCTATTAAATACTATATACGTGATATATGTGACGTGTTAGTGTACTGCAGTAAATACTGAGACAAGTTGGTATGGCTCTCTGTCACACAAATAAAAAATTCACGTGAGAGCTTTTCCCTGAAGCCTTTTCCTATTGCCCGAGATGTCGATGCTGGAAGGAAGTTGAAAACGGGATGTTCCACTTCATGAACACGTGATAGTAAATCTGCAATTATGTTATCCGATCCTTTGATGTAGAAGATCTGGAAGCTGTTGTTTTGTAGGTACAAGGCCCAATGAAGTAGACGCTGATTGGAGAATTGGGCTTGTTGTAGAAAACGAAAGTGGTTTGTGGTCCGAATAGATAGTAATGGGTTGGTGTCCTTGAAGTTAAGGTCATAACGTTGCAAGCATTGGACGATGGGGAGTAGCTCCTTCTCTAAAGTGTTGTAGTTTTGTTGGTGAGGCTTCAGCTACTTTGTTGGTGAGGCTTCAGCTTGTAGCTGTAGTAGCTGACTGGTAGGACTTCTCCCTTACACCGTTGCATCAGGACACCTCCAATGCCGGTGCTACTGGCATCAACATTAAGGATGAACTGTTGTTTCACATCTGGAGAGGCGAGAATAGGGTTAGTACACACATCAAAGTTTTCAATTGTTCGAAGGCAATGGATTGTGAGTTAGTCCAAATATATTTCCTTTTAGGGCTGGTAAGATTGATTAAAGATGTGGCAACTGTGCTGAAATTCTTGCAGAACCTACTGTAGTACGACGCTAGTCCCAAGAATCTCATAAGTTGTTTACGAGAAGTAAGCTGAGGATAATGTAGAATGACTTGAAGATGCATGTCTATAGGTGCTAAGCTTCCACTGCCTATACCATGACCAAGATACTTCACTTTACCTTTAGCAAACGTGGACTTGCCAAATTAATGGTGAGACTAGTCTGGGAGAGCTGGTGGTATAGTCGTTCTAATCGGTGTAGATTATCTTCCCCAGAGTTTTTTTTGTTTTATTTTTTTTTTACATGCAAGCATGCAAGGGAAATACAATAAATACAATAATATAACATGAAAACAAATGAACAAAACAAGAAGCCACCGGCCAGAAGGACCGACAGCGCAGGGCAACAATGAGCAAAAATGGAGAAACACATGAGAAACACAGCATACAACAACGCATGAGAAACACAGCATACAACAAGACACAAAATATAAAACAATAACAAACAAGCAAACAATACAAGCAATAAAACAAAACATAGGAACAATATAAACAAATCAAACAAGCACCGGCCGGAAGGACCGACAACAACACACATCATAAGGTATAAAAGAAAATACAACACAAGAAAATACACAACACACAACAAGCCATAAAAACAAAGTAAAAATAAAAAGAAACACAACACAACAAGGTAATACATGAATAGAACACACAGGGGAAAACAACAACACAAAAACAAATACATAAATATCTTCCCAAGAGGTTTTTTTTTTATATTTTTACCTGCAAGCATGCAAGCATAAGACAATAAATACAATAAAAAGAACAGAAGAAACAAAATAATCAAAACAAAAAACCACTGGCCAGAAGGACCGACAGCACAGTACAAAAACAACAAACATCAACAGAACACAAGAGAAAATAGCGGAAACAGGCTAGCAATACACAAAATATAATGACACATAAAACATTCTAACAAACATCATAACACATAAGGAAAGCATAAGGATAACAAAGAACTAAAAAAAAAAAAATATAAAAGTATAAAAATATACAAGCCAAGAAACAGAAACATACGCCACACATGGCACAATAACAACACAAACAATAAACAAGAACATTCCACAACTAACCACTGACCGTGCAAGAAATAAAAGGAGAGGCACAAGCACAGAACACAAGAGGGCAAACATCATAGCCAGAGGGGCACACAACACAACAGAATCAAAGGAACAGATAATCAGTGAATGGTATAGCTACACGCAAAGCATGTTAAAAAATATTTAGAAACACAATAAACAGGGTCATGAGAAAACTAAACATAACACCGGCCTGAAGGGCGCACAATAAATATAACACATAGCAGAACATACCACAGGTCCCATGCATACACTAGACATACAGCAATCACACAAACTACTCAAATTGCTCATACTTTTCCGGCCACTCCGCCGCCGGGAAACGAATACAATATGCCTCCCAAAGCAACATGATGTTGTCCGGAACAGGGTGACAATGGGCCGTATGAGGATCAGGCATCAAGTCCAGCACACCCACAACAAAACACCGAGCCTGCGGAACCCAGACTGACGAGGGGGCACCACGGAACAGGCTGCACGCAGTCAACGAAGTGAAAAGACAAAGCTTCTGCTTCCCATCATACGCCACGCCGGAGGCCAAGACGATCGGGAGGGGCTTTTCCCCACGGGGCCGGGCAACGGGCAGCGCACTGGTAGCCTCCTTGGCAGCCCCACAGGGCCCCACGGCAATCACTGGACGTGTCACCTGCATGGACCCCCCACGCCGAGCATCCTTCTTCAGCACCAGCACGAGGTCGCGGCCCGCACCAGCACCCACACCACCTGCGTCCGTAGGAGTGACCACCCCCCACTGCGGAGAACCTTCTGCAGAAGGAAGAACAGGAAGTAAATCAGAAGCACAATCGTTGTCATCAGCAGGCACATGGACGTCAGCAAACACCATCGACGTAGAGCGCGATGCACCCGAATCCACCACATCGTCGTCCGAAGATCCACCGGCGTCGAAATCCTCCACATCAGCCCAAGCAGTAGAAGAACGCCGGGACCGCTTGGGCATCGGCCACACATCCTCGGAGCCGGAGGCGGACCCAGAACCACGGGTTTCACAAACCGTGCGAGCCGATGCCCGTCGCAATACGACACCAGGCTGAACTGCAGGGGGAACCGAGCCGCACACAACAGGACGTTCCGCAGCCCCCCCCATCCCCAGTACCCAGCTCAGCCGTGACACCCGGCGAGGGCACAGGGCCAGTCGCAGCAGCAGAAGACGAGGAAGACGAAGACGTCGACGGCGTGCAGAGACCATCTGGAAGACCCACGGGCTCTCATAAGTAGCCTACTCATGAGAAACTCTCCAGACACAAAACAGAACGCTTTAAAAGAGACCAACGTCGTCTATGCCTTCAAATGCCCTCTTGGGGACTGTAAGCTCCAAAAAACCCAGTATAGGCAAGACAACAACATCTCTTTCTAGGCGTTTAACGATGCATAAGCAACAGGGCTCCATTAAGGAACATATAATCTCTTCCCACAACCAAACCATCGCCAGAGAAATCCTAGTAAACAACACAGAAATCATCGATAGATACAGCGATAGCAGGCGGCTTGACGTTTGCGAGGCACTACACATCAAGAAGTCAACACCAGCAATCAACAGCCAATTAATGCACAACTATATTCTACCCACCTCAAGACTCCGCTCCAATATAGAAGCATCAAGAAATATGGACCAATAGGCTTTCTACAATCACTTCTATTCAATACCCATTGTTTCGTGTTCTGTCTTGTGTTGATGAAATTAATACCTTATTAAATACCACCTCACCCCATCCACCTCACTCAAATGTAGATATAAACAAATCGGAGATGTGTAAGTTCCATTCAGTTGTGTATGTTTAAACTAAAGTCTTTGAAAATGTAATAAGTTTTACGAAACGCGCTCAAGTGTCGCGTCGGACTAGAAATAAAAATGAATTTTGGAGAATTGATTTTTGAATTACCACCAACAGTGAAAAGAAATGTACGAAAGATTGAGAAAATTCGTGTTAGAATTATTAATCTTACTTTTTCGGTCATATTTAATAATATACATATATATATACAATATGTATATATATATATACTAGCTGTACCCGGCCACGTGTTGCCGAGCCACAGCAACCTTCTGAGTCTTTTACTATGACGAATATGTCATCTGCATAACGGCAATATACAGTTGGTTTTTGTCTGCTACTGAAGACTCTATCTTCGATGGTTCCCATATAAAAATTAGCAAATAACACTCCTAAGGGGGAGCCCATTGCTACTCCGCCTGTTTGTAGATACATGTCCCCTTGTGGACTGATGAAAGGGGCTTCGTTTGAACATGCCTGGAGAAGACTCTTCAAGTGTGGCTCGGGTATGTCTAATTTGGGGGTGCTCTCGTCTCGGTATACTCTGTCCAGTAATATTCCTATGGTTGTGTCGACTGGGACGTTGGTAAATAGGGATTCGACGTCCAGGGAAGCAATGATTCCATCGGGCTGAGTTGTGTTGATTAATTCTAGGAAATCTGTTGATGATTGTAGGCTATAGTTGCTTGGAGTGTATGGAGTTAGGAGTTCGTTAAGTCTTTTTGCCAGGTGATAGGTTGGAGTTGGTATTTGGCTGATTATTGGGCGCAGTGGGTTACCTAGTTTGTGTATTTTAACATTACCATAGGCATATCCTAAGCCATAGTCGCCTTGGAGTTAGTGAAATGCACATTACCTTTCTTTGCGTTGATTGCAGTAATTGTTTTGTTCATTTGCGTTTAAGGTCTTCCACAGGGTTCCTCGTGATTCGTTGAAATTTGGTGTCATCACTAAAGATGTCGCTAATTTTGTTCATGTATTCTTGGGTAGGAATCAATACATATGCTGCTGTCTTGTCGGCTTTTCTTATTGTTACATCTTTCAGATTTTTTAGTTGTTTTGCTGCTTCTTTGAGTCGTGGAGTTAAGATTGTAGATGAATATGTTCCTCGTTTTTCCCCGCTTCTGTTAGTAGTTCAGCCTGAAGTGTGTCAGTAGTGATGATTTTGTTGTTGTCTTCTAACTTGTGGATGTCGTCCAGAAGCATTTCGATTTCCAGGCGTTTTTGATGCTTCTTTGGTTTAGATATGAATTGGCAGTTTAGGCCAAGATTCAAGAGGTCTCGTTGGTCCTGGCTCAGATCATGAGTAGTTAGGTTTATATAGCCGTCTTTTGGACGAGGGATTTTTAACTGTCCCCCGTTGAGGGCTTGGGCTTGCTGATCAACTGTCAGCTTACGGAGTGTCCTTGTTTCGACTTGCGTTTTGTGTTTTAGTTTTAGGCTTGATAGCTCACTGTTAAAGGTTTGCCCTAGTTGACTGGGGATGTCGTACTGGGTTCATTTAATTAACTGATGTTCAGCTGATGTTAAGCTGAACATCAGTTAATTAAATGGACCCAGTACGGACCCAGGACCCAATATGGACCCAGTTTTTCCTTATTGGAAAAAATCAATTTTTTATGATTGTTTTTGTATCATGTGTTCTCGTTTTGCTCCTATTCAGAAACAAAAATAAAATGAAGCAATATAGTAAATTAATAACTATTATAGTAAGCAGACAGTAAGTTAAATATTGTGGCAGAAATATACGCACCCAACTGTAAATGAACAATTGACGACGTTTCGGTCCGTTCTGGAAGTGAAGAAACGTCGTCACTTCCTATATTTTTAGATAAGTGGGTTTGGTGTCTTGTTATAGTAAAATATTAATTATCGGTAGAACTAACTAGATATTTATAGCAAGTCTGAGATTATTTGAACATCAGGTGGAAGGTTGGAAGCAATGAGAGTATCTTCCGAGACTTTGCGTGATAGTGTCTGGCCAGACAGTTATATGAATAATTCGTACTTCAGCTAGGGAAATATTTAACTCTTGTTATACATAAAATATACTTCTTATTAACTTGTGAAATTTTATGATGCAATTCTATTAAACAGAGCTAGCAGTTACAGCACAGTTGGTCTACAAGATATATATATATATTCATTGGACCTTCTGAAGATGTATTTAATATACGAAAGTACTTAAGGAAATTTTCTGTTTCATTTTCCTCCGTGGTCTGACATTGTCACATTCTTAATCACGTGTTTATTTTCGTGATATACACACACACATATATATATATATATATATATATATATATATATATATATATATATATATATATATATATATATATATATATATATATATATATATATATATATATATATGTCGTACCTAGTAGCCAGAACGCACTTCTCAGCCTACTATGCAAGGCCCGATTTGCCTAATAAGCCAAGTTTTCATGAATTAATTGTTTTTCGACTACTTAACCTACCTAACCTAACCTAACCTAGCTTTTTCGGCTACCTAACCTAACCTAACCTATAAAGATAGGTTAGGTTAGGTTAGGTAGGGTTGGTTAGGTTCAGTCATATATCTACGTTAATTTTAACTCCAATAAAAAAAAATTACCTCATACATAATGAAATGGGTAGCTTTATCATTTCATAAGACAAAATTTAGAGAAAATATTTTAATTCAGGAAAACTTGGCTTATTAGGCAAATCGGGCCTTGCATAGTAGGCTGAGAAGTGCGTTCTGGCTACTAGGTACGACATATATATATATATTTATATATATATACTTCTGGGGTGTGAGTTTTCATATATATATATATATATATATATATATATATATTTATATATATATACTTCTGGGGTGTGAGTTTTCATATATATATATATATATATATATATATATATAATATATATATATATATATATCGTACCTAGTAGCCAGAACGCACTTCTCAGCCTACTATGCAAGGCCCGATTTGCCTAATAAGCCAAGTTTTCATGAATTAATTGTTTTTCGTCTACCTAACCTACCTAACCTAATCTAACCTACCTTTTTTAGTTAACCTATAAGGTTAACTAAAACTAACTTAGGTTAACTTAAGGTTAACTAAGGTTAACTTAACTAACCCTAATTAAAGGTTAGGTTAGGTAGGGTTGGTTAGGTTCGGTCATATATCTACGTTAATTTTAACTCCAATAAAAAAAATTGACCTCATTCATAATGAAATGGGTAGCTTTATCATTTCATAAGAAAAAAATTAGAGAAAATATATTATTTCAGGAAAACTTGGCTTATTAGGCAAATCGGGCCTTGCATAGTAGGCCAAAAAGTGCGTTCTGGCTACTAGGTACGACATTATATATATATATATATATATATATATATATATATATATATATATATATATAAGAGAAACTAGACTGAATTCGATCTTTGAATAAGTGCGATGGATAACGAACTGCCAATGTTCATTGATATCGATTACAGCTTAAAGATGGAATCCAACTGGAGGGAGGATTTATTGTTCGGAGTACTGGAGAACAATGAGAACCCAGCAGACCTCGTGAAGCCTGATATGGTCAAAGTAGTCGACCACAAGTCCCTGGATATGCATATTAATTTCGAAACTGGTACAAAGGCAACTCCGTTGAACGGTAAGCTTATTTTTTTATACAAGATGTTAATTACTAGGCCTTTAGTTGTTTGCCTAGTGAAGGCTATATTTAAATTTACTATATCTGGATTGTAGAATAAAATACCCATATGTTTTGACCAATTTATTATAATATGTTCTGATATTATCTGACAATGTTTCAAAGTTTCTTCTTTTGTCAACAGTTGGATGTACAAAAGGCGATTCGTGTGGAACCATCGATGTCTTCGGGATGAGAACATCAGTACAAAGCGCCGATCCCTTCTTCGGCGACATCTACAGAACTCCAAGTAAGTGCTCTCCACATAGAAGTTTTACCTTGGGTAAATCCCGGGAATTAGAAATCTTTGTAAAGAAGAAAAGAACAGCCCATCCTGTTTAGAGAGCATTTATCGTAACGATGTAGACGATAAGAGACGATGTAGACGATGTAGACGTACATATATTAACGTAATATTTAATTAGAAAATAGAATTTGGTACTGTTGAATTTTATCAAACCGGAAAAGGTTCTTTATGTTGCTAATGCAACCTAACCTAACCATCTGAGGCCTCATATAGTATATATGGGATAAACAAGGCATAGGAAATTTTTTTTAGTTTCTAGCTTTATTTTTCGGACTCTATGAAGTGAATAGCACAAGATTCTACTAATATTCCATTACGTCAATATGTGTATGATGGTTCATATAGTTCCAAAAAGTATTATGTAAACAGGAGGATGGGGTTGGAAAAATATATATTTGTAGGAAAGGTGAAGAGAAAAGGGTGACGTGATTGAAAAAATTAATAAATCAAACTGCATTAGGCCTATTAACCTATAACTATGAACCAATGAATTAAGGAAACTGTAAAAGACCTATTAGGCGATATTGCCAGAATTATTCTGAGGCAGATTCTATTAATTTCCCCTCCAATACCCCCTCCCCTCCCCTCCCCTCCCTTTCTGGCCCGTTGTCGTCGTGAGGGGGCTTGGTGGACGGCTGCCGGAGTGTGTGATGCTCCATGGGTCAGTCCTCATTCCGTTTGAAGCCTTATGCTCCTGCTGCTGTCATCACCAAATTTGCCAGATATCTTTTCCTTTTTCTTGTGTTTCATTTTTCTCCCCCCCCCCCCCATTCTCCTTGCTAATTGTTATTTCCCACCGACCATTTGCCAGTCTTGTTTATTTTTTCGGACTTCTGTTTTAACGCCCGGGTGTTTGGGGAGGCATACTCTCTCACCCATAGAACTGTGGTACCCAACATCACGAGTGAGGGGACACTTGTATTGTCAATTCTTCTTTTATCACTGAACTCGATCTCGATGGTCTGACGGTTCTTAAGGTGTCGTTTATGGGGAGTATACTCACGACACATCCCTGGGGGGGGCCCTGGCAAGACCTGTCTCTTGTTGGATGTCCTATGTTCTAATTGTGGCTCCATTGTGAATACGCAGGAACATTCATGAATGAAAGTATTACCTCACGTTTTCAATTCGCTGAATACTGTTCCTCTTTTGACTTCTCAGGCTCGTGGGGTGGGCGACCAAGCCCCCAAGTCGGACTGTTTTGGAAGACCGGGCTCTGTAGCCCCCGCTACATTGGGCCCAGACCTAGCTCCTCCTCTGACCCTCCTGACTACTCCCCTCGGCTCCCCTCCCTCCTCTGTGGTTGGATCGAGCCCTAAGCCCCCAGCGGTGACCACCTCGTCCCCTGGCACGGCCCAGTCTCTCATTATGACTACTGCGTCTTTTAACCCCTCTCTCTGGGGGTTCTGAACGCCGTCCCCGCCACAACCACTCTCGCACAATCCCTTCCCATACTAATACGTACCATGCCTTGTTTGTTCCTGCTTCGTGGGCTAAATACTTTGATCTCCACCATCTGGATTCTACTCCTGACGATTTTTCCCCCCATAAACACCTAGTTAATTCGGTAGATGCCTTTGTTGCTTTTAACCCCACCCGTCTTGATACACGTGTCATCGTTGCTCCTTCTCAGGATGTTGCTACCCACTTACCCCATTGTCCTGCATTGGGGAGACTCCTGTTCGGGTCTCCAAAAACGCTCGGTTAAATGCTAGTGTTGGCACTGTTATCCTCCCGGACCATGTTGCAACTGGTGTTAGGAACCTAAAAGGCTGCTATGAAGATATTAAACATATCCTCGAAGCCCAAGGCTATCCAGTCCTCCAGGTGGACACGTTCACTCGACCCCCTCGTGGTCGTCGTCATCAGACCCTTCGAGTTGTTAAAATCACCTTCGATAGTAAGACCCTTCTGCCCTCTGTCATTCTTGCTGGTGCCAGATGAGTTCAGGAGTTCATCCCCTCTCCTAGACTTTGTAATAAGTGCTGGAAGTTTCGGCACGGTGCCCTCAAATGCTCAAGTCGTGTCTCTTTATATCCTATGTGTGGGGCAATGACCACTCTTAGACATTGTGCTTTTCTCCCCAGGCTCGCTGCCTCAATTACGGTGAGGCCCACCCTACCTTCTCCTGCACGTGTATACACTACAGGCTTGAGGAAGCCGTCCTCAACATGAAACACTGGGATCGTTTGACGTTCCCTGAAGCAAGACGCCAAGTCCGCCGTCTCCACCCTTTCACCGACGTATCTTATACTCACATGTTGTGTTTTTCCTCTCCTCATCCTTCCCATCTTCCTCAGTCACACAACCGTTTCCAGGCCCTGGACCCGGACACGCCCATTTCCTCCTCCCCTGTTCCTTTACGTTCTGTCACGAAGGGTCTCCTTCTTGGTTCTCCATCTGGAGTTTCCCCCCTTCCTACCCAATCTGCCATGTCTTCTGTGTCTTCTTTCCCATCTTCCCCCGATTCTTCTTCCCAACCCTCCCCCCCAGTCTCTTGGCCCTCCACACCGCCTGTCTGTCCAGGCGATCCATCATCCTCCCAGCAATCTTCATGTTGTTTGCACCCGTTCTTTTTCTCCTGTTGAGACCACTGAGTCTGTCGCCCAGTACGTTGTTGCTGGAACACCTGTCTTTTTGAGTCAGAAACGTAAGCCTGGCTCCTCTCCTTCCACCTCCCCAGCGGGTAAAAAGGCATCACTTTCTTCCTCGCCCCCCCCCCACCTCTGACTATCGCTACATCCCCCTCCTTTTTCGGTGGTCGGGTCCCCTGTCTCGGCCATGAAGTTTTCTTTAGCCTCCGATTCCCTCTCGGTTTCTACCCATACTGAGGTGCGCTCCGTGGTTTCTACCCCCCTCCTCTTACTGTCCTTGACAGCCCCCTCTCCGTTGTCTCCTCCTCCTCCGGGCCCCGTTAGTCTGCCTCTGGTCTGTCCTCTCGCTCCCTTCCCTCCATCCTTACTAAGCTTACCTATGCCCCCTAACCCTAATTTTGCTGACCCTGATCCTGAGCTTATTTAATGTACTTTGTTCTTCTTTACTTTTGTTTCTTCATTGTTCTCTGTTGCTGCCCTTTCTCTTTTTTATAATGTCTATTCTTCTGTGGAATATTCGTGGATTTTATGCCAACTTCCATGAACTCCATCTTCTGATTACACAGTTTTCACCACTTGGTGTTTGTCTCCAGGAACCCATGCTTGGTGCTCGTCCTGGTCACTTTCGTGGTTATTCCTTTCTTTCTCCGCCCCCCCCCCCCCCCAGCGGCACATAACTCTACTGCTCTCTTGATTTGTTCTGATATTCCCTTCGCCTCCATTCTTTTTCCATTGCCTATCTATTGTTCTGCTGCCCGTGTTTTTGTGAGTAAATGGTATACAGTCTGTTCCATTTATCTCCCCCCTCCCCAAAAGTCCTGCGTTCCCTTCCTGATCGTAAGCGCCTCCTGGACTCTTTGCCAGAGCCGGTGCTCCTGTTGGGTGATTTCAACTGTCGACATATCCAATGGGTCGATGTTCTAACAAACACCCGACGTTGCCTCTCGAACTATTCGTCCTCTCTTCTGAATTGTGGTGAGCCCACTCATGTGGACTCGCACCCTTTCCTGTCTTGATCTTTCCTTTCTGCTTGTCATCTTTTTACTTAAATCTCACGTGGTGGGTTCTTGATGACCTCCATAACAGTGACCATTTCCCCATCCTCATTTCCTTTTTCTTTTTTCACCCTCCCCTCTACTTCCCTAGGTGACAGTTTGCCAAGGCTGACTGGAACCTATTCACCCTCCGTGCTACTCTCTCTGACCTCTCCTCTCTGCCTCTTTCTCGCGCCCTCCTACTTTTTCATGACACCGACTTCGATGCTGCCTTCTGCTCTATTCCTGGCTCTACATCCCAGTGCACGCGGAAGTGCGTTCCCTGGTGGAATGTTGATTTTGCTCGGGCTGTCCGCTGTAACCGTGCAGCCTGGAAGATACACCAACTCCGGCAGACGACTGATTCCTTTATTTTGTTTCGGAAGGCAAGTGCGATAGCCCGTAGGACCATCCGTACAGCTAAACGTGAGAGTTGAAAATCTTATGTTCCCACCATTACGTCCGATACTCCCCTGCCATAGATCTGGAAGAAGATCCGGAGATTGCGGGCAAGTTCGTTCCAGATGTCTCGCTGGTCCTTCACCTCCATGGTATTCTTGTTACAGACCCAGTGAAGGTCGCGACCGAATTGGGTTCACATTTTTCTACTGTTGGCTCTGGTTCTCATCTTCCTCAATCCTTCCTTCTTCGGAAGCCCGTTCATGAATCTCATCCATTAGATTTCTGCACTCATCTCCGCCTTCCCTATAACGATCCCTTCTCTCTGAACTTCAGTCTGCTCTGGCCGTCTGCGGATCTATGGCAGCACGCTCTGATGACATTATGAGATTCTTGGCCATCACCCTCCTTGCATGTCTCAGTATTGTATTTACTGAGTCTGTATAACCAGGTCTGGGAGTCGTCGTCAGTCCCTGAGGACTGGCTCGATGCCGTTGTACTCCCTATATGGAAACCAGGGTCTCTCGAGACTCCTCTAAGGACTTCTGCCCTATTTCCCTCACGAGTTGTGTCTGCAAACTCTTGGAGCGTATGGTAAATGTTCATATGATGTGGTTCTTGGAACACCATCACCATCTCTCTCCTTCTCCATTTGGTTTTTGCAACTGCCGCAGGACGACTAATGTCCTGGTGAACTTGGAGGTCTATATTCGTACTGCTTTTGCTGCGAAGACCTTCGTTGTTGCTGTCCTTTTTTGACCTGGAAAAGGCTTATGACACAAGTTGGAGATATCATATTCTGTCCAAACTTCGTTCTTTTGGCCTTCGTGGTAATCTCCCTCTCTTCCTCTCTCGTCGTTCCTTTAGAGTCAGTCTTGGTGCCACTCTCTCTGCCTCTTTTCGGCAATACGAAGGT